CTGAATGGGCTCGGCGCTCGTGGCTACGTGTATTTACGCCCCGGACTATACCTATCTTAGACATTGGTGCCACTTTGGAATCGTATCTGTCCATAACACCTGTCGAAGAGTCTCCCTGGTTATTTTCCTCGTTACTAGCTATCCTGCACCCCGAAGGGCTCGCTTGACCCCCCCCCCCCCCAAAAAGCTACTGCGCGTCCTGCAAGTCGCCAACCCACCTCATGACCTAGTCGCCCATTGAAGTGAATTCTGTCTCGTTGAAAACCACCCCACCTATGCATCTCTCTGTTTATTTCCACCACCTCAAAGCCTTTCTCTCGACTCATCCGCCATATATCTTGGTTTGAGTTGACAACCGCTTTTGCAGGTTGCTATCACGCACCGGTACCTCCGGTATCGTGCATATCACTACCTGTACCTTAGGAGAAGTGGCGCGCATGTCATCGACGCCTTTCGCCAGTGTGGCTGCTAGTCCTGCTGTATCTTCATTTAGGACATCGTTTAAACCGCCTGAAATTATCACGAGGTTTCGTCTATCAGCTGTAGTTTTGAGTTTTGTGCTCGCTTGCCTCATGACTGCTTCAAGCTTGCGTCCTGGGAACGCCCCTACTGCAACCCTCTTGTCACCTCTTACCCTCTCTTTGATGGCTTCTCTGCATCGATTTAAATTCGAGTCCTCGGCTATTATCACATGCTGTGACTTTTCAGCTGGAGCGTCCTGCACCTGGGGGCCACTTGCACCTGTGACGCCGGCTGCTTTGTCCCCTCCCAGCCCCACCGCTACCTCGCTGAAGCTGGGCCTTGCGACAGTTGAACCGGCTACACCTGTTTTTTCCAAACTTGCTTGTTCTTCCTTCTCCACCGTTCTGGTTGCCGGTTCTCTACTGTTCTCTCCGTAGGCCGCTTCTTTGTACAGCTTTGCTAGTGCTTCCTCGGTGGACTTCAGTCTTTCTCCCATTGCCCTCGCTTTCTCTTGCTCTGTCGCCAACGCAGTCTCGAGCTCATCGATTCTCACCAGCTGTTCACTTTGGGCAACCATCATTTTCTTCATTTTTTCTACGACCTCACATTGCCTACACTTCGCGTCAGCCTCTTCTCCATCCGCTTCTACGCTTGAGTCCACTTTCAAACCCATTCCACATCCTGAACACTTTACAGTCTTTTTAACCATGTCTTTCTGACACCAATTGTCCCTATACTCTATAAATACTAAACTCGAGCCGTGCACTACGAAAAAAAAGAAAGTGTAGCCTCTACTACAAAAATTTGCGTGTTCAATGTATGCGCACCTCCCCCACGGGGTGGCAAAAGAAAAAAAACAAAAAAAAATTTAAACCCACACACCCGCACTAACTAATAAATACCTGGTGACTGGCCCCGAAAAAGCCGTACCATAAAACTAGTGCTACGAAGATTTCAACCGCTGCCTTATATTTATGCAGACAAGCTCAAAACTTGCGAAAACACCTATCTGCGCAGTCGATCCGGAGCGCTCGAAAAACACGTCCATCCACCGTGACAGCCCGAACATATTCAGCCCGAACGGGCGATTCGGGCGCGACAGCCGGAACAGAGCAAGCGGGGATGAGTGGCGTCGTCTGGTGTCTTCTTTCGAACTATTGCGGCAATGAGGGAGTGGACCCGCCACCTTAAAGGACCAACAATTACAAAGTGGCCAGATATAGTTAATCATAAGCAGCTGCAAAAGCTTCAATAAACATAAAATTTGAATGGGTTTGCAAGTTTGGTTACTGACACGTAGGAGGCCTTCACTGATTCGTAGAGGGAAGAATTAGGGCGTAGGGGGCACTTGAAAACTGAAGATCAGGATGAATTCTATGGTAGTTCGAAATGGCCAACGCTAGGCACACAGTCGGCCGTTTCCTTATGATGAGGTTGAGGCATGTGGTAAGAACAGAAGTGAAGGCTGCATTGGAGAAGACAATGCACATGGCGTTCGACTAGGCAGCGTCCCACTCTTGAAGGTGAAGCTGAAATCTTTTCCAAGTTTTTAAAGACAATTTTCTTTCTTGGGGAACTTCGACGCAAAAAATTTTACCTGTCTGTCTGTGTGTCTGTCTGTCTGTCTGTCTGTCTGTCTGTCTGTCTGTCTGTCTGTCTGTCTGTCTATACAATTATCTGTTTGTCCACGCTTAACGGTGACGGGTACTTGAAACGGCTGAGCCCATCCGCAGCGCGCACCAATGTTGCTCAAGATTGAACGTTCATGCTTGTGCAATTATCAATTAAAACACTTATTGCGCATGTCTAGGGCACTATAACACTGTATATATTCTACATGTGATTCTTTTACTAGAAAAGACATACATAAGTAATTTTAAAGACCGTAGCGCTTATCACGCTGCGCATGACCATGCAACGCTTGCGCGGAACAGGGAGTGTTTCCAACGCTTTGCTAAGACGAGACGGTGGTGGCACCTACGCGTCAGCCTCGCCTTGCACACCTGATCACCTCTGAGATTGGCGCAGCACACCCGTCTCAGAGCCACACGCTTTGTTTTTTTCAAGAAAACTGCCAGATGGCCCTCATGTCTTACGAGTGACGTGCCTTGATGCGTCCGTTCGCCTCCGCTGCACTGTCGAGGCACTCTAACGCAGCACCTTCAGAATGCCGCTCATCGATTTTCTTGCGCAGGACATCAAATAATGTCTTGTTCACTCTCTCCACACGCAAGACTATCATTTTTCGACGATATTGGCAGAGACATGCCGATACGGGGCCAATTTTTTCACCACTATTTTTTATACGTAACTTTTCACCCCCTACAGATACGCAGTAAACAAGATTGCAAAGTATTCTAACCAATTCTTAATGCTCAGCAAAAGAAAAAAATGAGAACATTTGTGCCACGAGGCGCGTAAGACCAAAACATGCCATTTGGGTGTCACTGGTGCACAAATGAGCTTAATTATGGGACCAATACTCAAGACATCGCTTACCGTGAATATAGTCCAGAGCTCTAGAAGTACATACGTATGACAATGAAGTGCAAGTGCGAAATGGTGTTTCTTGATTTTTACATGCACAGAGCGGATTTGTCAGTCTCCCCTTGTTTTCATATTGCAACGAACTCGAAACTATCGAACACTTTTTGTTGAGCTGCCGACGTTTTTACTTACACAGAAAACTTATCGAAATTATTTTGTGGAAATGTGGTCTACCGGTTACGTCGGCCGTTTCCTATCATTAGGGGCCTTTGCACTGGTGCACTCCGACTGGGATATTTTCGAAGCTGTCGAAAAGTTTATATGCGACACGAATAGATTTGGTAGGTGTGTATCAACTAAAAACAATTCTTTATTCAGCATTACTAGTAAAAGATCTTCTGTCTCTGGGAGATTACACAAAATAGTGCGACCTAAAGTTACAATTATTCATAAATAACGTTACATTTACAAGATAATCTGAAAATCATTTTAGGTCTTAATCAATACTAATCATAAATTCATTATGCATGATCCGCCTGACTCATGGCTGATCCCCCAGAGTGGGTAGGTGTCAATGATCCGAGCAGCATCATCATCATAATCACTCTTGTAAACTGATACATTCAGAAGAATCAGTATTTTTCGAAACCCATTGGTCGCGACTACACACCCCGCAAATAGTATTTGCACAAGCGCTACTAAAGCAACTGAATGTAAAAATTAGACATATTGGTCCAATACACAACCTAAAGTCAATGCTTAGCATACAATTCGATGATATATTTCCTCATAACGCGAAACAATTGGCATATAGGTATTTAAATGACCAGTTAGCAGATTATCTAGCTCAACTAGAGATAAGCAATATCATAGCGACTGATGCATCTGTGTCAAAAGAAAAGGCTGGGGTTGGCATCTTCTCTCCTTCTTTGGACTGGTCCTTTTCGATTCGACTCCAAGATTATACCCCGGTATTCATTGCAGAATCATTGGCCATTGTTCTTGCCGTACGCAAATTGCCCTCAAGCGAATCATTAGCAGTTATCATTACAGATTCGTTATCAGTTTGTAATGCACTTTCTGCGGCTGTATATTCAGAGCTGATGAATACGTTTCGGCTATTAGAACCGAAAAACGTAAAAAAACTGCATTTGCTATGGGTAAAAGGCCACCGCGGATTATATTTGAACGAAATGGCGGACTCTTTAGCAGCAGTACCCTGGGTGGGCCCACCATCCCAGTTTTGCCAGATACGGCTTACGTAACAGCGCTAAGATTCCGAAATGCTTGCCTGCAGTGGGGAAAAGGTAATTTGGAGAAATTCAAAGATTTCGAGCATTTGAGCTATTGCTTGAATAGACAGTGGTGTGAATCTCGCTAGTTAGAGGTCACTTATACCAGATTGCGCTGTGCAGTTCCACAACTAAATTATTACCTTAACAAAGCTCGGCTCAAGGCGTCACCGCTATGCATTTGGTGCAACGAAATTGAAACAATTGAACATTTCTTATTATTCTGTCATCTTTATTCTTATCAGAGAAAAAGACTTTTAGTAGCCCTATTACAAAAGCTAGGAATACAAGTAAATCTACCAGTAATTTTATCACTTGGCGGAACTTCATTTGGTTACTGCCTCAAGGATGTATGCTCCGCTGTGTTTGATTACATTAACGCAACTAAAAGATTACCGTGCTAGTGAACCCCTACCTTTTCAGATCTTTAGTTTATGATTCGTAGTTATGTCTTTCAAAAACAAAAGATGGTTTGACCGCTTGCTCAGCAAACATTTTTGTTTTTTTAGTATTATTTTAAGCTACTTTTTCAGATTGGCTTCATTTTATATTTAGTTTCATTTAAGTATCCTGCTGTCCGGTTCTCGGCCCATCCCCCCTTGTGGGTAAGCGCCATCCATCAGAGTTCACCAGTATCAGCACTCATCATCAGTTCATCAGCATCACTAGGCGTGGAAGCAGAAGATAGAGCTGCTTGGAGCGCGGTTGGAGACGCGTCCGAATTTTCCGCTAAGCAGTTGCCCGACCAAAACAGCAGCAATGGCCTCTGCGCAGGGAGCTACGCGTGTCCCATCGGACACTCAGCAAGTTGGAGCCAAATTGACAGATGTTGGACCATTCAAGCGGGAAGACTTGTCTACGTATTTGACAAGGGTAAAAAAGGACATTGCATTTTTCTTGGCCGACCCTCCAACGGGCATATTCATCGCACCGTACGAGAAGGACATCGCCAATATCCATGCCCTGGTGATGGGTCCCTCTGGAACACCTTACGAAGATGGCTTCTTCGAGTTCCTTATTCGATGCCCGGTGGAGTATCCGATGAAACCACCTATCGTCGAGTTCCTGACTACGGACTCCGGCAGGGTGACATTCAATCCAAATTTATACAGCTGCGGTTACGTATCTCTGGAAATCCTAGGCGCAGGCTGGAGTCCGTCTCAGAGCATTGAGAGCTTGCTTGTTTCGATCCAGTCGCTGCTGAGCCGTGACCCTTTAACCGATGAGCCTGGATTCATAAAAGCGCAAAAGGACAAATAGCGCTAGAAACTACAAAGCCTTCGTAGAGCACGAGACTATCAGGGTCGCCGTGTGCGACGCTGTGGCGGCATGCCTCAGCGAAACATCGACGTTGCCGGCTACGCTGAGGGACGTGGTGTTGAAAAAATTCCTCGAGTGCTACGACCGTTACGAGGCCGCGGTGAAATCTAAACTAGACTTGTCGGGTAAGGAAATGCCGAAAACGTACTTCTACCTCAAGGGCACGTTCGAATACGCCGAACTGCTTACGCGACTCCGGGACCTCAAGCAGAGAGTGGCGGAGCATGCCAGGCGTCAGTGACTCCCGCACATTGCCATTACGCCGACGCCATGCTTGAAAATTTGGTTCTTAGATAGCTTTCTAAAAGTTCCGTGCTGGTATGCTAACAAATGACCTTTGCAGTGAGTTAAGACACTGGGCTTTCCTAGTTCAGTGACTGAAGATCTCGTGTTGAGTCATTGTTGAACCTATTCATGAAAACCTCTGCCAATTCTTTAGACCTTCCAGACACTTGCTGCACATTGTTCAAAATTAAAAATTGGCCTTTATTATGGCGTATGATTTTATTCATCATATTGCGCTGCTTCTTTCTTTCATGGAACGTATATTCTCCAGTATATGCATTCGCGATATGTGCCAGTTTAAAGAAGCGGCACTGCTAAATGAAAACACTATCAGCAGTATCAATGGGCTTTATCAGCCAACTTAGCACGTGTTTTGGCGGCAAGTGATTGCTATATTCATGCAAAGTTCATTAGATGTCAACACCATTATTACATCCACGTTTACGTAGACTAATGACAGTTCCAATTAATATAGAGGCACTATCTCAATGACCACCTTTAATAATTTCACACAGATGTGTGAGTGTTAGTAAAAATGGGAAAGGCGCCTCCTGACAATACTAATTTTTCGGTGTTGGAATGCTTTCTAGTCCCGCGTACGCAATAACTTGTGCGATACAAATCTTGGAGTTTCCAATAGGAGAGTATTGATGCGGGGTGCAGCAGCCGCTAATTGATTTAGTGGTTGCGAGCAAACACATTATATAAAGAAAACGCCAGGCTTGTGCGGAATCGCAGCATAGTCACAGCGAAAGCTAGAAGAGCGGCCTTTCACAGCCTTTTCTAAACACTCATTGGGTAAGTGCTGCAAGCACTCTTGCTTCATATCCACTACAGTATTAATAATAAAAAGTTTAGGGTAGTAAGCTGGCATTTGATGAAGATGATGATGATGATGATGATGATGATGATGATCCTGGGTATTCTGGCGCACACCCACAAAGGAGGATCGGGTAAGCACCGGGTGGCAGGATCTCTAAGTAAGCTATACTTTTTTTCATCATTCTTCTGAGAAGTGCGGTATCCACTAAACACTTTCAAGGAATTTTGTACTAATTGTTCATGAAGTGGCTGACGACGATGAGGAATTATGCCTGAAGTGGGTATGCGCCACATTCAATAGCTGAATAAGAAAAAGCTTTTCTAATGAGTTGGAGAATTGGACGACCCACTCGTTACGCTATTGACAGTGTGCGATGACTAGTTCTCCTTCCGCTGTTTTAAAACGCTTTATAGGCCGTATTACCGAGATTGCTCTCCTGAAATCAATCCTGCCTAATGCAAGTTTGCCAACAACTCCCGAGAAGCGGCGTGGCTCCACAATAAAGAAATGGAAAACACCGCTTTGGCTCAGAGGTTGATTACTGGGCTGGCACCCAGCGGATCCGGGTTCGAGAGCGCTGGGTCATTGGTACTAGTTTTTTGTATTGCGAAGCATTTGTTAGCGAACTTCAGTGACTTTGAGCTTATCTATCTATCTATCTATCTATCTATCTATCTATCTATCTATCTATCTATCTATCTATCTATCTATCTATCTATCTATCTATCTATCTATCTATCTATCTATCTATCTATCTATCTATCTATCTATCTATCTATCCATCCATCCATCCATCCATCCATCCATCCATCCATCCATCCATCCATCCATCCATCCATCCATCCATCTATCTATCTATCTATCTATCTATCTATCTATCTATCTATCTATCTATCTATCTATCTATCTATCTATCTATCTATCTATCTATCTATCTATCTATCTATCTATCTATCTATCTATCTATCTATCTATCTATCTATCTATCTATCTATCTATCTAGCCGCCTACGACTGTAAGCTCTCCTGGTCGTTTCGATAATGGTATCAATACCAAACTTGGTATGGCGTAACATGACTGTATGAAAAACATATTTGGCTAGTCATGACATAAAATAGTGTCATGTATGTCATGAATGTCATGACTTACATTTCAAGGTCCTGCAGCTCTTGCGGTGATTTCGTTCACATTGGCATGTTGCAAAACTCGTATGGTATGACATGATTGCATGGCGAACACAAGCGACAGACCCTAAGATGAAAATCATGACATGCTTGTCATGACGTGCGTGCCACGTAACAACATGACTACATGCCACATTCATGATGTGCTCGCGGCCGTTTCCCTAGCGTCCCATATTCCAAATTTGGTATTACGTGATGTGAATGGATGACGAAGGTGGGAACAAGATAAACATGAAATGCGTGCCATGTAAGAACATGACTACATGCTACGCTTATGACGCGCTCGCGGCCGTTTCGATAGCTTCACTATGTACAAACTCGGCATTACGTGACGCGAATGGGCGACATAGGTAAATGACATTTCCAAACATGATAATCGCGACATGCCTTTTATGTGACAACATGACTACATGCCACACTCATGATGCACTCGCGGTGATTTCGCTAGCTTCACATATGCCAAATTTGGTATTACGTGACGTCAATGAATGACGAAGGTATGTGACTAGTGCAAACATGATAATCATAATATTCGTCTCATGTGAGAACATGACTACATGCTGCAGTCAAGGTGCCTAAGCATTGCGACGTCAGGCTGTGCGCGTGTTCGCCGGCGTTCAATTCGTCGCATCACGCCCACGTTGCGACGCCAGGAGCCGGTTTTGCCATACAGGCGTGCGCCGCGCTGCGTTGCTTTGACGCATGCGTGTTTCAGCACCTCCGGCGTCCCTTCATCATGAAATGAGGGAGACGCAGTGTTGTCTGGCTAACGAATCAGCAGGAGTTTCATGCCGCTTGCCGTCACGGAGGCTGGTCGCGTCGGTCGCGCCTGGCGTCAGACTATAGAGTTCTCGCGTTTTTCTAACGTTGCGTCACTGCGCCAAGCGTGCGCAAGCGTCAACGCTGCATTGAAGTATATTGGGCCCTTCTTGATGCGCTCGCGGCAGTTTTGCTAGTTCTACATATACCACATTCGGTGTTACGTGACGTCAGTGGATGACGAAAAACATGACTGGTGCAAACATGATTATTCTGACACGCGTGTCATGTAAGAACATGACAACATATTACGCTAATAGCGTGCTCACGACCGTTATGCTAGCTCCACATATACTAAATTTGGTATCACGGGACGTGAATAGATGGCGAAGGTAAACGAACCATTCAGACATGATAATCATGACACGGAAGCCATGTACGGCATTATTTATCTCTACCTCGTAACGTTTTGATCTTAAAATGACATATCAGCCTTTCTTCTTCGTGCTTCGCATATAATCGATTCTCACTGTTCGTGGGATCTCTGCCAACTTTTTTTAAAATTTCGTTTGAGGTGGTTGCGGTCACTGGCGGTGGTAGCGGTGGCGGCGGCGGACAACCGCGCGTGACCCGAGTTGCTATCTGATAACAGGTTTCGCTGTAAAAGATGTGACTAGCAGTCACTGAAGATATAGAAAAGCTACTTTGCTTGACATATTTGCGGTCGCACTCGTTTAATTAAAATGGAAAAGTTAGTATATTAAAACAACGGTATTTTCTCAGTAGTGCACTACTTGGCACAGTTGGCAAGTTATGCATATATAGTTTAATTTTTGCTACGGCCACGACATAGTCCTCTATCCCAGCAAAAATGACGGTCTTTATGCCAGCTCCCGTGGCATATACTAATCTTTTCAAGCTTTCTCCTCTTTATACAAACCACAACGGTGCGTGAGATGCATCGCGTCACAAGCTACTGATCACTTGCAATCAGTGAGAGTTTTTGTATTTTGTAATATAGCTGATTACTTTTTTAAAGCTGTAATATTCTGGGTTATACGATAACACTTGCTTGTAGCAGATTATGGGTATTCAGTAACCCCTCCCCCCCCCCCTCTTTTTTTACAAATTCACGCCTGAACAGTTTTCTAAGGCAGTTGTCGCAGGAAAAAATACTCTACCACTCTGTGAGGACTGCTCGTGCTATAAGACGTACATTTCCTAAGAGGCCTGTTTAAACATTTCTCTCAGTCTTACCTGGAACGCCTTACCCGTGAGCCACCAACAGCGAAGCGCGACGCTCATGGCGTACGCATGGGCACTGGAGGGGGCCGGGGGGTAATTGTGCTTTCAAGCCACGTGCTTTCTAGTCAGGAAAAAGGCGGGTAGGGCGCAAGATCTGCTCTTACACAAGCTTAATAAACGAGGAATGCTGCAGTGCACCTTCATCTCCTGCCCTTTGACGGGAAAATCTTCGAACGTCTATAACGACGCTAGGGTGACCTAGAATACAGGCAGTGTCCAATGCGCCGGCTCCCGCGTGGGATTTTTGCAGTGTAATAACCGCGCCGCGCTGCTCCTGCACCGGACCTGTTAGGTGCCAACCTCTGGCACGCGTACGCTCACGCTTACGCGTTAAAAGCGTCTAGTCGCACCTGTGGAGGAAAAGGTCGCGGAACTACTGGCATGCGCTGACCGCATTTACGCTCACACGT